GATCTTACAGAAGAACTGCACATGTGAGCACATCCTTCTAGACTCTGACTCTTGAACAGTTTGTGAAGTATTTATTCTTACATTTATGAAGTGCTACAAAAGAGTTAACAGAGCTTTTCTGAAATTCTCTGCTCAAATCAGTTATCTTTTAAAGGCCCAGAGCACAGACGCACATTCTTAGACACCAGCTGGAATGGGAGCAGTCACACTTTTAAAGCTTAATGTATGGTTCAGTAAGAGGAAGGTTAATTATTGAAATGAAGTAAACACACAGAGGAGAGGTTATAACAACATAAAGTAAAGCTTAAAAGTGAACCCAGCATATTTGAAAACAATCAGCAGAAAAAAGTTCACATAATTCAGTGGACTTTAAGAGGAGATTTTTGGAAAAGGAACTTGGCTTTAAGCATTTAGGTCAGGAAGAAGGCAAGCACACATTAGCTACATGACAAACTCAATCTTCTTTTAGCTGTCAGATCACAAACACTCCCACTAGTTAGTCCTATGTTGGACACTGTGCTTCACTCCCAAATCTTCATTTTTTGTGTTCTTTGCTGCTTCTCTTCCAAGTTTGCCAGCAACTACTTCTACTCCTTCTCCTTTGGTGCAGTATCTAGCCCAAAGTCTGCTTCAGCATCCTTGTCTAATCACCGTCTGACTGACCTTGGCATGATAGTTTTGGGTAGATTCTACACCACAGTTTCTTACTTTCACTTTTCAGGTATTTCCAGTCTTTCTTGATGATCTTTCAACGTGCTTAAGTACCTTCTCTCCTCCTTCAACACCCAAGGTTTTGTGGTGTGCACTACCTTGTGCACTCTCAAGTTTGTTTCCAGAAAGAGGTCAGACACACTACTGAATTTCAGGAGAGGGTTTACTTTGGTGATCTTGGCAGTTCCTTCACACAACCACTCTTCCACTACTAAATTTCTTATCCCATGTTAGTCTTCTGTTTGCAAAATTCACAATAAATTTTTCTGCTTCTTCTGTTACTTCAGACCTCTCTGCATTGACCTTCATTCTGTAAGATCCTGTCACCTCCTCTACTTGTGATATTCCCAAGTACAAATTACTCTTAAATTTGTGTTCAATCCCCAGTATAATCCCAGACTGAGTGTTCTGTTACAGTTAATGAAACATCCTATTTTCATTACAACTTAAAAGACAAATTTAAAAAACATTTTCTAGATGCATCACCTTTGTGAGAACTGCTTCCCTCATTGCTTTTTCTTTCTATAATAAAAAGATGAACTGAATGTCACTGTTATGTCAAGTCCTAGAAAATAGGATAGTTTGATGCGCTTGAGTATTTTTAACTTTACTTAATGATGATCATCTAAGTCAACCTCAATTAGAAGTAGTACCCATAATGGTGACACAACTGCAAGTTACACAACATCTGTTATTTCTTTTAAATCAAGGAGTTAAGGGAGAATCTGAAATTTCTTAGCAGCCATTAAGGCTAGAAAAAACAAAGCAAACAAACGAAAGGCAAAACAGACTTGCTTGATAGGCCAATGTCTAACCAGTGAGTCTGGTTTCCCCGCACACCCAATTTTCAAGGTCAGCTCTCACGTGCAAACAGTCAATATTACACAGAAGACCATTTTCCAGTCAAAAGATTACACAGATAATTTTCCAGCCAAAGGAACTGCAATCAATGAGTCTTAAGGCAGCTCAGTTTTGTTTTCCCAGGTAGATCGCATCCTGCTCCTTCAACTTACTGAGCAGTATCATTTATTTTTCAAGGAAGGGTGTTATCTACTCACAGAGCAAAAGCATCCTGGAAAGAGATAAACAATGATAACTTCATTCCTGTTCCTCGGGGAAAAATTAGGCGGCACCAGAAGAAATCAGCAACAAGTGGCATCAAATTACTTCTGCAGAAAGCACAGCTAAGCTGTGGTACTCACTGCCACAGGATGCCAAAAGCTTACACAGAGTCAAAATACAATTAGACACTCATGAAAAAGCAAAAATTCTACAAAAATACCATCCTTGGCTCAGAAAAACACTAAACAAAGACACACTGCTCACAAAGTGTAGATTGGTGTCTTCCAGAATAACTGCACTGTGTGGATGAAGCAACACACGCTTCACTTGCTGCCAGTGGGCATCCAGGGGACGGACAGTTGGGTACCTGCCTTCCACCAGACCCAACACAGGCTTTCTTGTTAGGCCAAAGGCATAAAACAGATAGTTGTAGAACAAAAATCAGCTGAAAATGCCAGTGGGTTGAGTGTTATGAGAAACGAGTTAAAAGCTTTCAATACTTAGGAAGTTTCTTGCTATTTTTATAAGCAGTAGCTGTTAATTGTCATCTTTCTCTACGGTGTTCTCAGGTATCTATAGCAACATTGTTCAAGAAGATATCAAAGAAAGCTGGCTGAATGTACATTTGGGATTTATTAGGAGAAAAAAATAACTCCAAAGGCTGGAGAACAAAATCACTGTGAAAGAAGATAGCACAGCCAGGTTTTTATCATAGAATGGCTTGGGTTGGAAAGGACCTTAAAGATCACCTAGTTTCAGCCCACCTGCCATGGGCAGGGACACCCTCCACTAGCCCAGGTTGCTCAAAGCCTCATCCAGCCTGGCCTTGAACACCTCCAGGGATGAGGCATCCACAACTTCCCTGGGCAACCTGTGCCAGCATCTCACCACCCTCACAGGAAAAATTTTTTTCCTAATATCTAACCTAAATCTGCTCCCTTTCAGATTAAAACCATTACCCCTCATCCCATCACTCCACTCCCTGATCAAGAGTCCTTCCCCATCTCTCCTGTAGCCCCCTTTAAGTACTGGAAGGCTGCTATAAGGTCCCCCTGCAGCCTTCTCCAGGCTGAACAACCCCAACACTCTCAGCCTGTCCTCATAGGGGAGGTGCTCCAGCCTTCTGAACATCTTCATGGCCTCCTCTGGACCTGCTCCAACAGGTCCACGTCTTTCCTGTGCTGAGGACTCCAGAACTGGATGCAGCACTGCAGGTGGGGTCTAGCAAGAGCAGAGTAGAGGGGGAGAATCACCTCTCTCAACCTCCTGGATGTGCTTTTTTTGATGCAGCCCAGGACACGGTTGGTTTCTGGGCTGCAAGCACACACTGCCGGCTCATGTTGAGCTTCTCATCAACCAACACCCCCAGATCCTTCTCCTCAGAGCTCCTCTCAAATCCATTCTCCTCCCAGCCTGTATCTGTGCTTGGGATTGCCTTGACCCATGTGCGGGACCTTGCACTCGACCTTGTTGAACTTCATGAGGTTTGCACGGACCCGCCTGTCCAGGTCCCTCTGGATGGCATCCCTTCCCTCCAGTGTGTTGACTGCACCATGCAGCTTGATGCCATGGGCAGACTTGCTGAGGGTGCACTCGATCCGCTCTCCATGTCTCCGACAAAGATGTTAAACTGGGCTGGTTTTTTTATGAAAACCAATCACTTAATTTACCACTAGTAAACTAGATTAATGAGAAAAGAAGCCAAAGATCAACCATCAGAGCACTAATTTGTCTTTCTCAACACCAAAAGGCTAACTGGAGTTTGTCTCCAGGAGAAAAAGCAGAAAGAGGTTTTGATAAGGAAAAACAACAGACTTAATCCTCCAGCCATGTGGCAATTCACTATTAGAAATATAGCAGAAAGGAGAAGAGAAACAGTAACTGTGAGGACCCATCTGTTCTTACTGCGGACATCATCCACAGGCAGTCATTTCTGCTTTCTGACTCACAGACTGAGTGGCTCAGAAAGCAGAGTAACACCTTGGGCACTGTTAATGTGCAATCACTGGTGCCAGTCAGTTACTATTACATTTACACCTTCTTACAGCTAATGGAAGAGATCACATAGGAAAGTCTTAATTCCCATTGCAGCTTAAATGCATCCACCTTGAACACAGGGACCTGCAATTTGGTCATAGCAATGATTACTCAGTGCTCCAGAGGCAAAATACTGGGATGCGTTGCTTGGTCCTAAGTGGCAACTGGAGACCACATGTCTAGAGCCAATCACTCTTGTCCAGACAACAGCTCAACACCCCAACACTGTCTCCCTCTGTCACATTCAACTTGTGAGACCACAGAGAAGAGGCAGAAAGTCCCATTAGATGACAAAGCACACAACTTTTTGATTGGGACTACTACAAATCATCCCGCTTCTACTGCTGCGGTTTCCATATTCTGAAAACTGCTGTCCATTTCATAAAGTATCAAGTTAGTCGAGCACAACCCACCCTTGGTAAAGCTACACTGCATTACATCACATGCTCTATTTTGTGTCTTTGCTTACTTTCATCTTTAGATGCAATCTAGTTTTCAGATTTGGGTCCCATGGGCTCCTAAACCATAATGTTCTCAATGTAATTCTTAGCTAGGTAAGAGTCTTTATTGCATTAGGTGAAGATCTCTCTACCTTGGAGATTGTTTATCCAAGCCCTGAATTTGTGTTGCCTGAAAGAAGAGAAGTTGAATAGCAAAGGCTTAATAAAGTAGTATAAAAACTCTCATTAGATTTTTCACATCCATCCTCAATTAATCCTCACCTGTAGCCAAAGAATTTTCTAAATTTCTTATAATTTTTTCTATCTAAAGATAATAACAAATTACTCATTCACCCCAACTACAGCCACTCCAGCAGCAAAGGATTAGTCATACAGCAGGCCAGGAAAAGGCTGCCTTAAATCCTGGTATGAGGAACTGACTGAAAGAGCTTCTTTAAATTCAAAGTGTCAATCAGTGGATTATGAACCTGTCAGAAGCTACTTAAGGATAGTCTTCAACCACATACCGAGATTCATGCCATAAGATAGGATATTATAATATCCAACCCTCAGCATTAGTAGGTACAGAGCAGTAAGCTCCACAGTTTCTTCAGCCAGCTTTGTGGTTTGAACAATACTTTGAAATAAGCTTGCTGATGAGATACAATACTAGGGCATTTTGACAGATGGAAAACGTACTAGCAATTTGTAAGATGTGAACCACTATTCAGTATAATAAGAATATCATACCTGGTTTTGATCGTTGTAGTCACATTCCCGAACCACTACCAGGCCTCCTTTCTGACTTGGGTGGCCCTGGGCAACCAGGCATTTGTTGGTTTGAAGGTGATACAGCTATGAAAGGAAAACAGTTTGATGGACAGAGTAAACAACAAACACCACATACCAAAGGGAACATATGGTAATACTTTGGAAGCCCTAGAACTCAGTGTACTCACAAATTAAAAAAACAAAAACAAAAAAAAACCAAAACCCTTGCAATACAAAGAAAAAACTTCTTCCCTTTTAAAATACCATGTTGTATTTCAAATAATTTGGAGAAAAAAAATAGCATTAATAGTTCCATTTTGATTTCTAATTACATCAAGATTTCCCTCTTTATGGTGCAAGTGCAGTACAACCAACATGGTTCAGCACATGCTGGCCATACTCTATCAAGTTTCTTTCCCCTCTTCACTCGCCATGAAAGTCTCAGGTCTCAGATACTAGCTCAGGAATATCAACTGTACTGCATAAACTACATTTTACTACAGTTTCATCAGCTATGTTATTTTAATGACAGATCAGGGAAGAAAGAAAAAAACACCCAAATGCTCATTCCAGCTCAAATGCACTACCTAGTCTGGTTTGGAGTGATGTTGTATCAGGACTACATTCAGGTCAGGAGCCTATTCTAAGATGCAAAACTGGAAGCATCTACCACCACAGCAAACAAGGAGGTTCTCAGCAAGTTCGCAATCTCTCTCCTGATTTGGGCAATGATGTCCGTCCTGAAAGCCACTCCAGATTTTCTGCAGAGCCTAAGGATTAGGTTGTGCTATTCCAACAGTCAAGGATCATTAGGACGTTAACGTATGTAACCCCACAATTACTCAGCAAGAGAAAAAAAACCTCTGTTCTGGCTTCACATTATATGCATGCACTAAACTAACTGGTAGCCAGCAGAAGACTTCTTTTCAGACTTCTTTTTCTGCCACCAATGTGGTGGGGATCAGGCTATTCAGGCAGCAATCACTGCCTGCACCTCAAGAACTATGCCACACGCAGCCAAGGCTACAAAAGAGAAAGGCAATTCTCGCAACAGCCACAACTCTGCCATTTCCCTCCTCGCAGCAAAGAGCCCTGCTCTCTACCAAGTGCAGAGAAGCACATTTGACAGTCACTGGGTGTGTGCACATGTGGGAGATGGCAGGGCCCCAGATCTGGCATTCACATTGAAAAGAATTCTTTCCAATCTGGAGCTGAATCTAGAGGAAAAAAGAATTTGCTGTCCTCAACTCCAGGCCAGGCTGATTAATTAGCTAGTTGCACTTTCTTGTGAAGACATACATGGCTGTCTCGGCATTTGATTCTACAGATTTTTAGAAACCAAAAGACACTTCCAGTAATAAGAAGAAAGAACTGCTCCATCACATGACAGCAAAAATTAGAGAGCACAAATATCAAGTCATATTTTTCACTAAATACCATTTCTGGAAATAGCTGTCCCAAAGCACATCAACAACCTCAAGTGCACCATGTTTCTCCTGTTCCCTACATACATCTGAAACAAATTACACAAAACCTTCTAAGTAACATTTCCTCACACCCTAGAGAGTTCTTGGAGAGATCTCATTTTCACCATTCCTCAATCAACAGAAGGCTTTCAAACTATATAACTACATAAGTTTTACGATTTTTTTCCTTGTTTTTATTGGCCGTGATGATAAGCATTTGATAGCACTGTTAAGAACTGTCACGATTTGCGATCATTACAGCTTTCCCCAGTTGTCAAACCAGCACTTATCTCTGGCCCAATTAGTTTTTGAGAATAAACTGGGATTTGGAGTGATTCATTGCGAATCCTAAAGAGTCTGGCATGCAGCGGTGACACTGGCTGATTGTTCTGTTCCTTGTAGGCATCTGGAAATAGTTTTTACAATCATGAGAGCCAAAGCTGACTCTCTGACACAATGATGAGTATAATTCTTCAACCCTGGAGAACCAAGCCAATTAATTGCATTTTTTTGTGTCTTGTCTCCCCCTTCTTAAAGGCCACACAAAGTTCTTCTCCAAATTGAACCATGGGAAATTATTGCTAGGATGATTTTCCCTTAAGTGTTGTTGAGGGATTCTGATCCCTCAGTAGCCTCCCCCACATCGGCAATTCCATAGTTAAAACTTCTGTCTGAACGAAAGCAGAAAGCTATTAAATTTAATGGAATTTAAAAGGTCTGACTAGGGGAATAACAGCATTTAACAACTAGGGGAATCAGCCTGTTATATCAGTTTCATTCAGGGAAACCACATGTTTACCCTAATAAATAACTTTACAGCTTGGCTGGGATACAATTACAAAAATACTGCACAAATCATGGATTCCCAGATAGCTGCTTCCAAGCAAAAATCTAATGATGTAAATAGGTTCTGCATGAACTTAGGTCCTCCAGCCTGAAGCTACTCGCAGGTCCTGCAACTGTCAGCATCTACTGCAGCCTGTGCTGCCTTGTGGAGAGGGTTGCATTGCTACCTAATAATTCCAATTACTGAGCTAGAAGGGGATCTGCTAACCATAATCTATGTGCACATGAAATAGCTCATTCAAAGTTTATTCTCTGTGAAAGAGAAGACCTTGAGAAAGTTGTCTCAGATTTGAAGTTATCTATTATTTTTGGGAAGCGTAAAAAGCACACAGACAAATCTGGCACTGCAGCGAACAAATGCAACTGTATGCTGGCTTTGCCTGCATACAAATGCATAACTATAGGTGTCAGAGCTAAGGCATGCATTTAATCATTATTTCCCTCATGAATACACATAAAAAAACATGTCATCACTTCTACTTGGAAGAAAAAAGGAGCAAAACTTTTTTTTGTTCATTATCTAACAGTCAAGACTAGAAAAGCCATCATCAGTCTCAGATGCAAATGTTTCATTTTTGCAGAAAATTACCCAATAAAAGCAATGAGTTTGCAAACTAATTACGTTGTACTCTTATCATAAACCAACAGAGCATGAATATTTAAGGCCAAATTTCTCTCTATTCAAATCCATCTTCAGAACCAACACAGCCATGAAAGAGCATTCTAAAGACATCAAAACTTCATAATTCAGAGCTTTGAGGTAAGAAGCCTCATTGAATAGTACCTGGTCTGAAGATGACTTGAAATATAGATCAGAGTGAAACTGTTTTGCATTTGTCTAAATACACAAACTCTTATTTTCAAAACAGCTTGTTGCAAAACTAAAACTCTACGTTTCTCAAAAACTCAAATAATTAAAAAAACTAGAATTCTATAGTTTTAAGAAAGTTTATCTTACCCTTCCACGCTGGACTATTTTTGGTCGTTTCTGTGCTCTGTTAATGAAAACTGGCTGTGGAGCTTTGGCGTTGGGCCCAGATATTTGCATCTCAGGATAGATATTATCTAAATACCACTTAAATGACTTGCAGTTCAATCTTTTTCTCAATTCTACACGGTCGGTAATATTTCCGTACTTCCTCATCCTTAGCTCGGGTCTCAAAGCAAAATACTGCTCCTGTATTTGAAAGAAACAGGATGGGGGCAAGGGGAGAAGAATTTCAGATTACTGATTTCCAACTTTTTCCTGTTTGCAGAACTCCCGAAATGTCATTTTGTTTTGCTAGTGCTTTCAACCATTAAGTTTGAAATTGGCATTAGGAAACTCCAGTGTTCAGATTGCCACAGGAGGTGAGATTCATTTTGCCTGACTCTGAGCTAATCTTTCTAGACTGCTCTTTTTTGATGAAGACATTTCTCAGGCATGAATCTGCTGACCTTTTTAGGTGCCAGCTTGAGGAGGAAACAAATCAGCCCTACACTCTACTGGCAATAAAGGCATCCTAGAGTCATCAAGACAGAAACAGATGCATATATTGCCATCATCCTCATCTGGCCAACACGTCTTTAAATTAGTTTGATTGTCCAACTGATTGTTTTCATTGTTGTGGGATTCAAGTGTATTGGCTCCCACAATTTCCAGCCTTCCAACTTTGTAAGTTACCAGGAAAAAAAAAAAATCCATATCAGAATAGAGCTATCATTGGGCCTATCTTGTGAAGTTCAGTGTCATCATGTGTCTATTCACGTGAAGAACCAGAACTGTCACCTGGGCTTTCTGTGAAACCCTTTTTTTTTCCATTCATCTGCATCATCTCCAGAAAGGCTCCCACAATGTTATTTTTTCATGTTCTAATTTATGATTATGCTCAGAATTGTACCTGGTTAGGCAAGTATAGATTAAGATTCCAGATCAATCTTATGTGCTGTTCAACACTAATGAGAGACAATGGGGACAAACAGGAATTCACAAACGTGGCATGAATACTATCACCAAAACCGGAAGAAAAAATCCCCTTGTAGAGTCTTTAATTTCAGCTGGATTCACAGAGCTCATAGAAAAAGGCATTAACTAGTTTACTAGATGTCATTTAGAAATCACTTTTCAGGGCACTGAACTATGGTATTTTGTTGAATTAATCTCTAGCAGACATCTGGAATTTACTTACCATAATGTGGTTTTGACAGTTTTCAATTATCTACTGCTGTCTCTGATGACAGTGTCATCTTAAGACAAATTACACATCTGTCCTTATCAAGATCTTTGAGCATTTGGATGTGCTTGATGTATCACTGCTATTTTAATAGCAGAGGAATTGGAAGCATTAACTACATTGGACTGTTGGACAACTCTGAAGAACTTTGGAGATAAGACTGGAAATCACTATCAGAAATGGGTCTGCTTCAAAAAAGTAGCTCTGCTATTCCAATTGCTTCTTTCCTAGTTACAGCTCAGATTTTAGTATCCTACCTTTTCTGCATTATTTATTTCCATTGTATATATGAACTAAGTTTTTTTTACATTTTGCTTTTGAAAGTTATGAAAATTTTTCTGTTTCCCTTCATTATGCAATTTTATTAAACATTGATATTTGCTCTTTGCTGCAGAACAGGTCCTTTAAGTCTTATCTTTGTACTAATCATTATACAATCACTTCAGTAAATGATACTGGTCCTAAATATTTGCATTACACTTACAAAACCAAAAATATTTCCAGGCTTGCCTTCCATACAGAAATCTGTCATAATGACAGTCCCTGGCACCTATCAGAGAACTGGATTAGAAACAGCTGGAAAAGGTTCAGGACAAAAGTCTGTGATAAGAGACTGCTAGAACCAGCAGTTTAAGTCCTTGTTGGACAAAGCAGTAAAAGCTGGAATTTATAACAAAGAATCAATTCCAAACTTCAGAGAAAGCCATCATTAATCACAAAATAACTTTGCCCAGACACCAATAAAAGGGAATGTGACAGATCAAATCTACCAATACATTATGGAGATGGAGACTCAAATTAATGACCCCTAAAAGGTTTCTCAAACTAACTGAACGTCAAGATAAAGGATGGGGTTTGAAACACAAACCTCTACAGAACATAAAGTTAATAAAATATGTCTCATATAGAAATTGTAGGGACCACAGGAGCTGGCCACACAGCAAATCCCATGGTCTCATAAGGCAAAATATCCTCAAATATCACAGAGATGAGGGATTCACAAAAGCCTGATCTATGTTAAAAAGCATCAGTACCAAGATCTGAAAACAAAGAAGGAATACGCTTGCCCTTGAATCCAGAAGTCAGTCCTCATCAATCTTCCAGGGCTGGACAGACTAAGAATCAGACTTCTAATTAAAACAGAAAGCAAACAACCAACCAATGAAATCCCCGTCTCACCAACATGGAAACCACCTGAAGGCATATAACATATATGGCAGCCATGTATTATTGATTTGGACACAAAGCAATGCAGGGCTTATAAGAACTCATTCATCATCTTTTGCTTCATTAAAAAAGCATAAAACTGAATCTGCCGTAGGCAGCAGAAGTCATAGGGTGTAGACATGAGCACTCAAATGCTAAACAACAATCCTACAGAACTTAGGAATTCATATCAAAATTAACATTAGGAAATCAGACTACAGAGGGAAAACCCCATTAGAGGTGCTAAAAAACCCCACTGTGATACAGTCCTTTGACAACCAAACCAGTTAATATCTTTATTCCATGACCTAGAACTGTCTCTTACCTTATATTCATCCATCCACACATGTGCCAGCCTCAGTGAGTTATGAGCCATAGTGTCCTGTCCCCCTGGTGAGCCATAGGGACGCCTTTTACGGAAAATGTGCCCCACCCTGGAGCAGGGGATGATCAGAAGTTTACCACCACACATCCAGATCTGTTCATACAAAAGCAGAACATACCTCATTGTACATATACAGACAAGGCTCACTACCTCCTTCCCTTCTTCAAGGATTCTTTGGCAGGTTTATCCATTATGACCGGATTAGGTGTCACAAACATTGTCCTACATGTCATGCTTTCTGACAAGTCAAATTATTAGATCTTCAGGTTAGAAAATACTATTTTTGTCACATCATCACATTTCCCACTAACACATCATGGCTTTCACAAAAAAACACAGTAAATTTTCTAAAACTTTGTGCTCTAATGGCCTATTAGAAAACACTGAAATATATGGCCTAAGATTCAACTTGCAGGTTAAGATATTTAAATTTATTTGCCTACATAAGAATTACACATGCACACTTCTATGACAGATAATGAAGATAAATCAATATTGTCAAAGGAGCCTGGAGAGCTTTTCAACTAAGTAGAAGCACCTGTTTTACACAGCTGTTTGTTCCTGTTAAGTATATGGGAACTCAGAACTCCTTCCACATTTCAGATACTACATTTAGGTGCCTTAATCCAACTCCAGAGTTCATTTACACTCAACTTCCATTTATTTTTTTAAATTGTAGCTTCCAGAAGATTATCATCATTGGCCCTTTGTTGGACTAAGGTGTTCTCCAATCTCAGAAAAATCTTCTCACATTAGCAGTTTACAATCACGTCAGTTTTAAATTACTTCTGGATAAGATAAAGAGATAAAGACTAAAGTTCCTTACAATTCTCCCCCAGGGAGACAGGGCTTCCAGACTTTATAAAGCTATATGAATGTCATCCAATTTTTCAAAGCCCTTTTCACTGAAACTGTATTACACAGTAGCAACAATAATTTCCCCACGCTCCATACACTTCTATTCAGATACCTAATTATATTTTATACTGAAAACTTGAAAGATTTTATTTATTCATTACACACCCCCTTGAAGTCACTCAAATTTATGAAATACCAGTTCTTATTTTTGAGGTCTAATCTTGATTTCTCTAACGAACCAATTTGATAGATTTCTCTAAAGTTTCGAGGGTTCTGTGTTGGGGATTTTTTTGGGGGGTGTTTGTTTGTTTTTGGTTTTTTTATGGTAACTTCATTTTTTAATCCCCTTTTCATATTTGTCATGACAGCATCTCATTCTCAGGCAGACTCTTGTCAAACCTGTTGATGAATCCATTTTACAGAAGTGAAGAGGTAAACAGGACATTGAGTACAAAAAGTTGTTTTGCTTTCAGGGGTGTAACAGGGAAGATGAGATAAAATATAGGAAGCCCAAAGAAGCATCACTTTTGAAACTCCTGATTATGACTTTCTCATTATTTTTCCAACCAAGCTGACTCCTCTACATGACTCTTAATTTAGTTAGAAAAAAATTTACATTTCCAGGTGCTCAAAAAGGAGACTGAAGTGTCTGTCTCAAAAGCCCCACACATGTCTAAGGAAATACATTAAGCTTACTTATTATCAGTGTTGCTGTGAGCCACACATCTTTTTAAATGACCTGTAAAATTCATTAGACATTGTTTATAAATGAATTCCAGAAATTTGCATGATTATTCTTTTCTTATGCTTCTCTATAGGTATTATGAAATGCTCCAAAAAACAAAAAGAAAAGCCACAAATATTTAACTACAAAGCTCAAAATTCTCTAGTCTTCCCATTAAAACTTAACTTGAAGTTTATTGTAAAGGCAGCTACTGTGCATTGAAGACATCCTTCCTGGGAACAGAAGCTCTAATTTCGGTGTGCAAATAGGTATTCCAGTGCTAAAGAAACTGCATACAGAAGAAAAGCAGCCAGACAATGAGGTTCATACTCCAATACACATAAAAGCTAGATTACCCGAAAAGATATTTCCAGATTTTCTCCTCCCCAGATGTCCATGCCACTATCATACTGTCCAAGTTCATTAAAGTACTCACGATCCATGGCAAACAGGCCTCCAGCCATAGTAGGTGACCTAAAAAGGGATATTGAAAGAAGTTAATTTTCTTTTAGAGAAAAAACTCAGTAAAATTTTAGCTGAATCGGCCAGTCTCAAAGGTTAAATGTAGAGCTACATAACAAAACATTTACTTCTTTGTAGAGTAAACCTCAGGAAAAGGGATAGGACAGGTGGCTGTCTCCCTACTAAAAAACAAGATAGATTAAAAAAAAGTAAAAAAAAAAAAAAAAAACAACTGTGCAAGTCTGGAGTCCATCAAGTTTTCTACATTGAAACATAGGAGCTGCCTTTAATTAGCTCTGTCTCTGCCAGAAGCTATTTGCCCTACAGTTATAAATGTGTACACTCGCACACAAGAACATGTCCTTACCCCTCTTCCAGGGCAAATTATACAGACCAGGCTTGACTGAACTGCAGAAAGAGTAGAATTCAGAGTATGCATTACTTTCCCATATTAAATTAAATCAAGAAACAAGGTCCAAATTTAAGTTATACAAGCCAGGAGGCTGCTAAAGAAATTATACTCTATCTCATGGATATAATTTAAATACCAGGAGCAGCATTATTTCATCATTGATGCAATGATCATATATTGGTAAGGTATGTACACAGTTTGTGTATTTGCACAAATGTTCTCTTCGGGGTTTCCCAGATTTTAGCCTTGCCTGTGTGTTACTAGAATGATGCTCTATTTTGTAAAAATCTCTATATGATCCCCATCGTACAGTCTCTAGATTGAATTGCCACTGTATCACAAATGTATAATATGTAGATGCCCTAGAAGAGTATAAAACAGAGTAAACCCACCACATAAATACAATGGACTGGTAACAGGCTTTCTCTCATTCTTGTTAATAAAAACCCACAATGAAACAAAGCTTAAGTCTGGATTTCTTTGCTTGTTTTCACACAATTTTCTTCTACAGATTCTGTCACTTTAAAACCTGAGCTGAAAGACTGTTCTCAATTTTTCCATCCTGACAAAATGTTTCATTATGTAGGTCTTTAAAACAGAAAATGTAAGACTTTCCGTTCGATGGAAAGCCATTTTCAAAGGTTAAACAGCAATCTAGTTTCTTCAAAGCAGGCAGAAACCTCTAAGTATGAAAAGTCATTTTCATACTTAGAAAATGCAATTTTTAGATTATTAGACTCCCTTTAACTGTAAAGTTCTCTGCCTTTTCCACAGGAGTTTCTCCTGAAAGTTGAAGGAATGCAACAACAGTGATGAATACAGCAAAAACTAACCTTCAGGCATCCCCCAAGTGAACTGTGAGAACAGTTCTTAACAGAATAAGGATTTTAAGACTTCCTGTGCTGGTTCCCCATTCAGATTTTTCCCAGTCTGTCCTTTCCCCTCTGGCTTCAGGAACTGCCACAGTGACATCTTCCAAATAAGCCAGTAAACCTGTTAAGCAACTTAAGTCTCCTCATTTCTCAGGCCAAATCCTGTGGTGGGTAGACATGGAAAGACTAACTGAAGAGAAGCTTGTGCTGGAGCTGCTTGCATCAGCCTGAAATGCTCTTCATTTACAGTCCAAGAAAACAGAATGAAAGACAGATGAGACTGCCCAATTTCTGATTCACTTTGCAAATCTTACAAAAGCACCATGTTCTCTGCAATGAGTCAGTTTGTAAAAAAAAAACAAAACAAAACAAAAAAAAAAACAAAAAAAAAACCAACACACCAAAGTTCTTGCACCTCACAAACCTGAATTCTGCACCGAGATGGATACCTGCAACTAGAAGAAACACAATCAGCTTCTTGCCATTGCTCTACCAGCATTGGCCCTTCTCATAACAGGATTCACACTGGGACAGCTTCTATTCTCATGTCTGAACCATACGTGTCTGCTACTAGAAAAAGGCACCTACTGACATAATTCTGTAAGAGTTACACGTCCAGGAGGAACCAGATATTGCCAGTTCCGTACAGCCAAGACAGCCAATGGTTAAAAGATTAAGGTAACTTTCAAGTCCTAGCGTTAAGCTTTACCAAGACTTTTGTTTCAGAATGACTCTCAAGCAATTCAGACTGCAAAAAATACAGACAGGCTTCCAATACACAGTTTCAGGCATTTGCCACATTGTGAAAAGAGACAAGTAATATTTTAAAGACTTTCACATCCATGTGTGTTAATTTAGGAAGCTTTATGACAAAATAATTGCTTATTTGAGGAACAATATAAACGAAATCTAAAGCAAAAAAAAATGGTGTTGACATAGAAAATTGCCATCTACTCTGATGGTCTCTCCCATCAGCTAGGAAACCACCTTCCTATTACCACAAAAACATATTTTCCCAATCTAGCAATTCTTCAGCATTTCATCACAGAAATTATAGAGCCTATATTAGTGGGATATGCAGGCTATTACTAGCACAGAGGCACTTATCAAAATTATCGTTAAGCCTAACACAGACTGACTGGAAACAAAAATCAATGGATACCTCACAAGTAAAATTATTGGACAGATTTAATACAGAATAGCACAGTAAACTCCTTAAGACTTTTGCCAAAAAGTGGCACAAGCATTCTCTAAAAACGTGCTTTCTTGACCTACTAAGACCAATATATCTAATTTACAATTAAATGTGAGAAATTAAACTGAAATACGTAACAGTATACAAAACTATGTCCAAGTAAAATAAAAAAGTCAGCTATTTCACACGTTAGACATCTGCTTCTACAATTGCACACCCAGACAGAGCCCATAACGCTTAGGAAGTGTTTCTGATCACCCATACGTTACATAGAGCTTCACACCACTCAAGAGCAACCTTACTTGATTGGAGCAGTGGCTCCCTCGGGTCCTTCCAGTTCTGACAAAGGAACAAGATCCCATTTAAAGTGCAGGCCCCAGTTAAATCCTCCACGCACAACTGGGGAAGAGCTGTAGGTAAGCGTGTCAGCACTAATTATGTCAATCACAGGGCACACCACCGTCCTGCGATCTTCTCTGATAGGAGTCAGCAGAGGTTGTAACCACATCTCATTCACCTCACAGTGACTGTCCAGGAACACCAGCACTTTCCCTAAAGAGGCCAAAGCACACAAAACACAAAGATACATGGTAACATAAAACATGCAAACACATATGCAATTATATCAGCAGCAGAGTAGCAGCAGTGTCCTCACCACCCTGTGTAACAGAGAGGAAACACCATCTGCACTGGGAAGCACTGACAAACCAGAGACTCCACAGGGACTTGTTCAGTCACAAAGGCTGAAGGTAGATCCTGGCTACTCACTTTTAGCTACAAATTGCCCAAGTGGGCCGTTCTTTGCATTTCTTTGACAGAGTTTTATAGTCATCACTTGTTCTACCCAGTTTCAGCAGAGCTACAGTACTTTAAATGAAGCACCATCAGACCAGCAGCAGTCAGAGTCAGGCAGTGCATTAGTCCTCCCATGCCTGAGTCAGATTATAGAGATAGCCAAAGATGACAGATATGGGGCCGGATGAATTATCACCATGACAAAGCTGGTTTTGTCCACTGACTGTAATCACCTTGGGCTCACTTCATATCACACTTCAGCTGCAACAGTAAGTGAATGGATGTGAAATCTGTAGATTTTAAACAAAGCCATTCTGATGAATTAATCTGCATTCATCCATGAGACAGGCTACAAGCATGTCAATTCCTGAATATATTAAATTACATTTATATTAAATAACATTTATTTAATTAAATAACAGAGCATCTCCGCATTTCATTATCTCTAGAGTGACTGCAGATTCATACCAGTTTAAAAGGAGAGTGAGTGCCCTGAATGGACATAGCCAAATCCACCAGTATTAGACCAAGCAACACTTCAGTCCCATCAGCTTATATGGGGATTATCCGCCATGGTCAGACAGGACAGGAGTTTGACCCATGAGAGACCTTCAGACTCAGTTGGTCTAAAAAGTCATCTGAATTTCTATGATACAACATAAAATTTATGTAACACTAGAATAATGTGGAAGAGAAGGGAAAGAACTTTAAAGAAGAAACATACAAATATAAAGAGTAACCCACTAGCAAAAGACAGTATTTGACTGGGGGAAAAAACAAAAGACTCCAGCAGTTCAGAAAAGCAATAAAATTACTTAAAATTGCACTAACTCAAATTAATCTTAGCACAGCTTGGAAAGTGCAAGCACAATTTTCTCTCTGGATCATGCCATTACAATGCTAATGAGTAAACACCAATTAAGAGACTTTATCTGGCACTCAAAATTAGTTGAGCAAGTAGCACATACTTTCTCAGATGCCAAAGAATTTAATCGGGAACCATATTATGGTAAAAGGCACACAGTGTATGTAAAGCACCAAAGATAGTTTATCCCAATTAACATTCACTGCAACAACAGAAAAGTTTGTGCAAGAAACACTGCAATTAGATGGGTGAATCAGAAGCCAGATTAGAGCATACCTTACTAAGGAAGTATATTGCCATTTTAAAGCAATAGCTTTCACATGAAACATGCAGAAAATGTTCTGCAACTACAATGTATAGCACAGATGGAAACACTCCTGAGACAACACTGCGTCAGAGCAGGAAGAGGGAAAATTCTACATTGCCTCACTAAATTTTGTCAAATGCTGGTTTTGTTTTACTATTTCACTGAGCTGCTCTAAAAAATTAACTCATTTTATCCAAAGCAAACTTCCATAAGAAGAAAAAAAAAATACAAATCAACAGTTCAGACAAGGTTTAAAAGGCACTCAAATATGGCTCCAAATTTGCAAAGTCATTGCTTGGGTGACTTGAAAAAACATGTCCCCTCTCTTACACACCATTGATTTCCTAAAGTTAATTACAAACTATAAAAACAGTGAATTTATTATATCTACTCTATATTTACATATAAACAAGTGCTCCTTCCTTCCTTCTCACTGAGTAACAGAGAAACCTCAGGTGAGGACTAATCTGGCAAAGCTATCAGGAAATACTGGAGAAAGCTTTATAAATATCATGGTCAACCACATGATGTAAATATTTAAATACACAGGTAATGTTAGTTAAGGTCTCCAACTATAATTATACAGGTATCACTGAGGACACTTCGTATAGTTGTTGTGACATAGGTTAATTAACAGCCAAAGATCAATGCAATTAACTCATTTCAAAGTCACTGATATTCTGAAACAATTGCTAAAATGTTTCTCACCTAAGAAAGCATTATCCCAAATCCTTTTTCCCCTGCACTAAGTTGTGTAGCTTAGAACATGGCATGACATGCAGAGCTCCTGCAGCGAGCTAAAGCAATCACAGGTCAAATATTCAACAACTGGAAGAGCTGCACTACAGAAAGAGAAGTCACCCACTTAACATATGGTCAAAGTATGCAAGGAAAAGAGAAATAACAAAGCATACCAGTGGCATGAGAGGCTCCAATCATCCTTCCTCGAATCAAGCCTTCCCGCTTCTCATTTCTTACCAATTTTGTGGTTTTTGGAAGCTGAGTTTTAACATATTCACTCAAGTCTTTCTTCAAGTCAGCTGAAAAAAGTAAGACATAAGTTCAACAACAGGATGGAAATTGTGAAAGCTTTGTTTAAAGTCTCAAGATGTTCAACTCAAAAAGGGACAAAAATTTTATCAAAAAGCTATCTCAATACATGTGGTAGCACAGCTTCAAACCAAGAGTATCAGAGGGACAGTCACCCCACATCCTACGCCCGTCCTCCAATTCCCATGACTTTTTTTGTTGTTGTTTTATTTGCACATTTTCCTATTAACTGCTTCACTTTTTCTTGCTGGATTTTGGAAACAAAGCAGGTACATATCCTGCATTGAAAAGGGTGACAAACCAACCATATGACTGGGCCTTCCATGGGGTGCATTATGTAAGCACTTGCTTATATTTTCCCAACTACCTTTTTATGTGCGGCCACCACCTCAGGTTTTATACTTGGCCTCCCTTTCCTGGATACAGACTGGATTGTTGTCTTTTTGTTCTGTTTGCAAAGCCCCCAGTACACTACGACTTAAGTTAACTGGCACTACTAGATGCTATGCTAAAAGGAACTACTGCTGCTAAAAAAAAAATAAATCAAAATAAAGGTACTGCACAAAGAAATAGCATTTCTCTTTCCAAACTCTTCCCATGGTGACTGTCACTTGCAGCAGAAGTAATGAAAGCCCTTTCACACAGGCAAGTCATTTAAATTACTGTGTTCCATACAATAAAATAAACACTGACACCTATAAAGAGGAGCACAAAGACAACTTTCATTATCAGTACCAGCTAAGCTGGTACAATAGCAGATACAAAGAATTACAACTCAGTCTCAGGTGGTTGCTTTTCTAAAATCCAAAAGGATTAAAGACACTGCTGGCAAGCACATGCTTTTGAAGGAGAGCAAAGTTCGCTGAAGTCTATAAGCAGTACTGTAACTTGACTAACATCAATAATGATGGTAAGAGTAACAGTATTCCCCCCCCCTCCCCGAGCACAGTGGTTTCTAACATGAAAGCAGGCACCAAGGTTTCACCATTGAAGAGAAGATGGACACATGAAGGCTGAAGTACTGGAAAAACAGAAGTTAAAAAGCTTATGGAGAAATAAAAAAGAATACAAAATGAGGAAGAAAAACAAAAAGCCAGCTGAGACTTCATAAAGAACCTTGTTATAGAGAGGCAGACAGAGTTTCAACAGAGGATATGCTGAACAAACATTATTATTCTGATGAACATTCAAACATTAAAGTTTGTTAACAAGATTAAATGCCAAAGGAATATATGTGGAAGCCAAAGCAGTAACCTTCAGGGAGCACAAGAACTTTCAGGCAGGAAGATTTCCAGAAGCAACTCCAAATGTTAAAATCTCAGCCTTTGCACTGCAAGGCGGCATCGTGGATCAAGAATGAGAAGATACCACATAGCCAGAGAACGTTCTAGGACAAAAAAGTCTCTAGAGAAATGAGGACTGGATTCAACTGGGTCACAAGAATTCTCTCCCCTAGTCTTGAATGTGACATAATATGCCAGAGACAAAAGGAAACTTTTTTTTTAAAAAAGTCTCCTAGAAAGTTGCTGAAATAAAAGTCACCTCTAGGATGCTACCCAAAATAAGCAGGGTAGAAGGATTTGCAAGTCTAAAATAAATTAGAGCTCCAATCATTCTTTAAGTGATGTATTATAGCAAGGGAAAGATAGTGTACAACTGCAGAAAACAAAGGGCTAGCACAAAGCAGAAAAGGCCAGTTATCAAACTCGGCACTTAGGGCAACAAGGCTGCATGAGAGGACATGCAATACAAGAGGAAAGATTGCATGTGCAAACTTCTGAAAACAGCAGAAGAAAAAAGAAAAAGAGGTCATGTCATCAATTACGCTACCAGTGTAGCTAAACCAGGCCCACAATACAGGCTTGAACAGCCGAATGTAAGAGCCAACATGCTTTCAGAGTACAGTTTTGACCTTGACAAACTAGCATTCTGCTGCAAACCAGTCCCAGCCATTGCCTGAGACTGAATATATCATGGACCATTCTCAATAGGCAGTTTAGTTTCAGACACCTTTTTGGGTTTTCGTTGTTGATGGATTTCTGTGTGTCAGCTTCATGTCCACTGGGAAGACAGATTTCTTCTTACGTAGCCCAAAAATTGCTTCAATACAGCCTGAGAAATTTTGTTCGAAGGCGAGAATTGCTCCCTTTTAGCCAGTAGACAGTCTCCAAAAATTACTTTAGCCATTATCTTGCTCCATATGTATGTAACAAAGGGCCCTCTAAACAAGAGAAATCTGGGATGGGAGTCAGGGGTGTTATTATTTCAAAGTATTGAGTTGCAGACAATTTGCCAAGCTCCTGATATCACTTTTCTTCAATCTCTTCTTCTGCATAGAAGAACGCTTCCAGTAACAGCCTTCAACACATCCTGTAGCCTGGTCCATAACAGATAAAGCCTAAATCAGGAGAAAGCAGTTGTACTAGAAAAAGAAATCCTGCCTTGCAGCAAAGGGAAAGCAAAATGTAACAGCAGGCTCAGCTGAGCCATAGAAATGCCTGCTTAGCTAGTAAGACTGTTGATGATGAAGTGTAAGAAGCTTTTTGAGGGAAAACTAGATGCAAAGACCCAAGCTTTGCACAACAGCACTGACATGCAGCAGAGCTCCTATATTTAAAGCTGAAGAAATAGGCAGAATTTCACCTAAGACACCAATTCAAGAAGCATGTAATGAAGGGAAAATGAATTTTTAAAAAAAATCCAAGAGGTACAGAGATTAAGCAATTTGCCCAAGCTCACACGAGATCCATGGCACAGCCAAAGTCTCTGTCCATTTCCTCAGTCACCAAGCCAGCTTTGCTCTTCCTCAGCTGTAATATTCCCTCCATTAAAATTAAGCAGCAGTGCAAGCATCAGTGGTATCACCATGATCAAAAGCAGTAATTCTCTGTATAAACAATATCTTTTCCCATCTTCAGCTTCAAAACATGTTCATTTGAAGTCAGAAAGGTAAAACTAGGTGCTTGAATGTTTTGAACCCAATTTGGCCTTCAAATTAGCAACAGACCAGAATAGTGATGGTACTACTGCCTAAACACAGGCATTAGTCAACAAGAGCATAACTGTATCCAAAAGATTGAGTTTTTAAGTGAACTTAGTTTTGAACGCAAAGGTCACGAAACTTGAAAACAAATTGCACAAGATACTTTGTAGCAAAGAGTGCATATTGCTTCCAAAACACAAAACAACAAAAGAGCTTTTAAATATTATGCATTCTTATCAGCAAGGGACAGAGTGTTTGATCTTTGCTCTCTCCTGTATTTTCACATTTGATCTGACCTCAGAGGAAAACTGGCTGTGTAACAAGAGATTTTCATTCTACATTATACATACCTAATCCTTACAGCAAATGAGACCTTAACCCAGAAACCAAACAATGAGACCAAGGGAGCTAATTAAATGTACTAAAAGAAAAATCTAAAAATTATTTTTAAAATACAGAAAGTTGTGGACTTGTACAGAGGCAAGCAGGGAACTTGCACAGTCCTGCTTGCAAGTACTGCTACATTAACACATTCCTCAACAGGCATTTCACTTTTGACGGGCCAAAACGCTTGAATTGCATGTCTGTCTCTGCCTTGCCCATCATTCGAGAGAAAAATGCTGAAGCATCAATCTTTCAACAACAGTAAAGCAATTCTGCAAGGTTTACACCTCTAGGGCCCCTCACAGACTGAGGGAACAGGGACTGCTACACGAAGAGACTGAGACAGTTACTCCTAGGGTGGCCACAAGAGGCTGTGCAAGAGCCACACAGAGCCCTCCCGGCAAAGGCTAAACTGATCCCAGCAAGCCACCATTCCCAAATGCTGAGCAAATAAAAAAAAAATTAAGTACTGTTTCCATAGTGCCACATCAAAGTACTTGGAAGACCGCATCTGAAACAATGTACATTCAATTCCTTTCAGAAGCATTCAGTTAGTACTGGCCCACAAAATTTACAGAAAGATCAGTGCAATCTGCTCTGAGCACCAGAGCAGCCCGAGCAAGGTACTATTCTAAACAGCTAAACAAGGTTTCCTGAAAGATTCTCTCACCCAATTCACTGTTGTCATCCACCAAAATAATTTCATGAAGAAGGTGTGCAGGAGTGCGATCTAGGACACTATGTACCGTGCGAAGCAGCGCAGAAAGCGCTTCATTGTAGAAACAGACAATAACACTGGCAGAGGGCAGATCAGAAGGGTAGGACTTCTCCCTACACCTGCAAACACAAATATAGTAGTTATTACTTTATTTTCTGGGGGATTTCCACAGGGTTAGGTCACTGGAACTTCATAAATAACAAGCAAACATTAAAGGTCTAGGAAGAACCCCGAACTTGAACATAAGGAGCCCAGGCATATAACATCTATAGTAGGGCTCAGCATAGTAAGTTACTCTCCACATAATACAGATTTATAATTAACATTGCTACTTGTTACAAAACAGAGGATACGATGGACTGGGGTGGGAGTAAGAATGACAGATCCCCAAGACATAAATGAGAGAAAGCACTAAGAGCTTGTTTTAGGTGTCAAAACACTGTCTAGTACCCTCAAGTAGCTCAGACATGTACAGGAATGGCAAATACAACATGAGGCCTCCAAAAACCCCCCAGCTTTATTGACCAGCTGCTGGAGACCAAATTGGATATCCCAGAATGCCTCCAATGGTGCTAAATACCTATTTAAATGACCAAGCTTGGAATTGAGCCTGTAGATTAAGACACTTAAATCTAGTCACTGCTGTCAGTGGAGTATACATAGTGTTCATCCCACCCTAAGGCTGACAAGTGCATTTTGTCAGCTGAAGAGTTCTGCATGCTCCATTAACAACATTGACTGGATCTCTGCTGATTATAATAAAAGCAGAGACAACTGACTAACATGCAGTTATCTAAATTTTAACATCTTAACCTGCAAGCTGAAGCCCACCGAAAGCAGAAGAGCATTCTTTCTTATTTTCAAATTTTGTCCATACTTCTAATGGGGTACAGCATCACAGATCAATGCCATTTGAAGATGCCAAGCATGAGGAAGTCCAGTAAAAATAAGAAAACTGTAAGTGAAACCCCAGGAGTGTGTAAGAAAAGTCCTCATTGACTTGGAATGAACTCAGCTCTTGGGAAAGACATTTCAGCAAGTATGATTCATTACACTTATCCACACCAGAAAAACCACTAGAAAAACAGATGCAGGTATATTTATTTTTCAGCTCAACAGGGTTTGTTGTTGTTACAGTGGTGGGGTTTTTTTACGCATACGCATTAGACGGATTACAGAAAAATTCTGCTTTTTAACAAAGTATTTAGAGCAGTGTGATCCAGATACCAAGTAGGGACTTTAAATGAGAAAGAGAGATTTTGTCAGCAGTCATTCTTCTATCTTATCCTCTGTACGTTTGCAACGTGAAAGCATCTCATTAGCTTGGGCACTGGAACATTTAATGTTCATCTTTCAAAGGTACCAAACAAAATTAAAGCATCTCTTTTGGTAATTACAGTATTCAGTATCTCAAAATAAAGCTTAAAGAAATAAAAATATTGTAGTATATTTTAAGTAACAGAGAACACAACTAGCAAGATGAAAGAGACGCAGGGCATGTAGTCTTAGTACTGCTGGAAAGAAAGCTTGATTGCTAGCACTTTTCCACATTGACTTGTACTTAAAGCTTTACTTTCAGAATCTTGTTTCTATCAAAATAGCTGTCTGTGAATCCTACTACTCACTAAAATTAAATATGATAAAAGTCTGAATAATTCTGTATCCAGTCTGGTTCTTCATTAAGCATTCTTAAAGGGAATTAAGAATCAGGAAGAAACTTTGCCTTCAGGGAGTAGCTGTCTTTTTTCATGCGGCCTGATCTCTGTAGGGCTTTACCCATTGCATACCTTTTCCAGTTGGCAAAAAAATTAGATCTCCAGAAACAATATTCAGTCACAAAAGAAGACAGAAGAGATCAAAGAATAGAAATCCTAACCTCAAGTACTCCTGTTTAAATAGCTGAAAGTCTGCCTTCACAACACCAGAGGCTGAAAGAGTATCTGACAGAAACATACTACCAAAAAACGCTAAGTACTACATCAGGTATAATGTGAGTAACAAGTCCTTGAGCACATGAAATTATAACATGTTCTCTTCAAAAATTAGTACCTACTTTGCATCTCTTGTATCAGGCACCTCCCTGTGGTATCCCAGCCGATTACTGATAAGCATATTGAAAGCATGCTTCTGATAACCTAAGTCTCTCACTTCCTGATCTTCTTCATTAAAAATCATTCCTGCAAAAGAAACACACCAATATCAGTTAACAGGCTCAAAAATACCCTTTGTAAACAATCAAGGATTGAAATGTATGCCTTAACCTCCCCTAAAACCCATTATGTTCTCCAGAAATCCCCCTGGTTTTGCAAATTGTATTTTTGTGCAACTATTTTTGCTACCCTTGACAAATAGGTAGCACTTACAAGTAGCCCTTGCAGCTGTAATAAAATGAAATAATTCTCCAAAGACTGATGGCTCCATTGTGTTTATTGCCTTACCAGACACTCTCTTCACTTCAATGGCCTCTAATTCTTAGCACATCCTAAAAACCAACATCAAACAAGCAGAGGGTAGATTTTGGCACACAATGCATCAAAGCTTCTATCCATACAGATGAAGGTTCTGTAATGTGATTTTTGGGAGAGAAAATACATTTACAATGGTAGAAAAAACCCTCCTAATAGCCGCTTCAATTTTGTGTGGTTTTCTCAAGTCTGCAGTAACATAAAAGTAGCTATGAAAAAACTCTAAACTTCTTGTTTACCTCACCTGGGACTTTGACAGCAGGTAAAACAGCAACAGTTTCTCTACTGATTATTTTAGCAGAAGCATCAACTGTTGCTAAGCATGGCAGAGGCAGCAATTCACTGCTAGAGGTCAAGACTGAAATCCTCAATGCCATCCTGCCTGCCTTGACTCAGTGTCAGGGGCCTCTCTATCGGAGCCATATACTCACCAGTGTGAATAGAAACAAAATATTATGGTGCTTCACTCAACTCTTCTACAGGAAAAAAAGAGGAGGGAAGTGGCAGGCACCCCCCTAGCCACTTCTGCAACAATTCAAGTAGCAGACCAATTACTTTTTATTGTCTCTGTTCACGCTGGCTGCACAGAATGGGATGCGTATGTCCTCTCCAGCTATTATCAAGCTACAGAGGCAATTTCACTGAAGTTTCAGTACAAGAAGTGAGCAAGGATAATGTAATTTATCTCTTTCCACACCTGCACATCGTCTCCATATGGTTCAAAATCTGCAGAAAATAGTTAACAAGGGAGTCCTCACTCACATGCTACCATACATTCAGAGTCTGTTTCATAGAATCACAGACTAATTCAGGTTGGAAGGGACATCTGGTCTAATTCCCCATTCAAAGAAGGTTCAACTATAATAGGTTGCTAAGAACTTATCAATTTAAGTTTTGAAAGCCTCCAGTATATCCAAGGATGGAAATTCTACAACCTCTTCATGTCCCTGTTCAAGCATTTGACCACCCTCACACTGAAAATGTTTTTCCTCTTAACTGAAATCTCCATATTCCAATTTATTATCATAATCCCACACACCTGAAAGAGTCCAGCTCGATCTTCCCCCATAGCCTCCCATTAAGCTGCTGTTGACACCAATAAAATATCACCCCTTAGCCTTCTCTCTAAGCCAGAGTAAAACCAATCCTCTCAGCCTCTTTTCATACCTCAGGTTCTCCAGTTTTCAACAGCTGTGCAAAAGCCAGCTGAGCTCAAGCCTGAAGAAAATGAGATAGGTTGAAAAACAGAGTAGAAAAATATTATTTTAAAAGTTTTTAAGCTTCCTTCCTTATCAAACAAGTAGTCCTGGTTGGCCTTCATAGCACAACTATGTCACTACCAGTTGTGTTTCAGTAACACAGGTTACCCAATAGGTACAAAACGACCTGCTAGAGGTCCTGAATTCTGGGCATCCACATCCCCACCATTTACATTTCCCTCTCTGGCACTCTTAGCCTTGAGAACAGCAATGGCAACGCAGCTCTGCTATCAAAAACCTCAAGAGCAGATGCCTTGACATTTGTGCAGGACAAAGCAAGAAGCACCGGGTAGTGATATCTCCAAAAGACGTGGGATACGCCCACATAGTGTGTCTTGTGATGACTTGCTATCATGCTGACTTGCTATCATGCTCATGGACGAGAGCTCCCGCTGTGGATACATTGCATTGTGGGGCAGGAATGAGGTCTGTTTACAGTGGCAGTGCCACTTTTCCAGCACTAGACACTTACTAAAGGGGTAAGTCAGTCCACCTTTGAACCACATGCATTTCCAAAGTAAGGTTTCCTGCTTGTCATTTCAGCCACCCAGCTCAATCACTCCTGAACACTGCATCACAGTAACACTGCGCTACTGGGTCAACTTAGAACAAATTTCTTTATACAAAGCATTAGCTTAAGAACCACATACCAAATGTTTCATTCTACAATCCATCTAGAAGCAACCACTAACTACTTTTTTTTCTGATCTTCTGAAAACAGGCAAGAAGGAATGCTAATATTTTTAAAACATTCTCATGAAGAACAATATCCAAAATGCACAAAAAAGGCCCAAAAGTTTTCAGTCCAAACAGCAGATAAAAGCCCTTGGAAAATAAGGGCTTTTCAATCGAAATATCAGTTTAGTCTTTACTTCCGCGGTGTTATGTGACTCTCCCAGATTAAAAAAAGATAGATTGTCCTACCAGACGACAGTTTGGTTTTGGCTATCAAATGTCAAATTTGCTTTCATTTTTTGTGCTTTGTGTGTTTATCACTGCCCTACCCTACATAGACATGAAACCCTTTCCTGCAGCACCTCATCTAATTCTAACAGAGAGACAGCTGTCTCCTGATGATTTCATGTAGAATTTATCCTGGCACTGTAATTCCCCTTGGCTTTCACCAACCAGACGAGTCACTTGGTTTGAAGATCAAGGGACTTCTCAGTTAAAAAGATCCTATTTCTTTCCTGGCCAGTACTGAATAGTTGGAAAGAAATGGCCACCTGAGGGCTGGCCTTCACCTCACTTGGCTCTCCTGCTTTTTGAAGTGGACCGATAAACATTTATAATGCCACAGGGCAATGTGAATTGGCATTTTTCCTACATAGCCACTCAGGTCTAATGACCAACTCAGAAACTAAAGTTTGGTAAAGTTCTATAAACTCTTGAAGCTGGTGATCCAGCATTCATCCAAAGTAACGACAGAGGACTTCAATCAGACATGAGTATTAAACTCCTGGGTATGAAGTGTACTATGCCATAATTTCCAAAGCAGCAGACCCTGATACCACAACACTCAATGTCTTCCTACAGCGTCAAGCAAGTTTGGAGGCCAGCATGCACCATCTTTGTTTACATATCTGAAACACAACAGCCAACACTAAACTGTACACAGTTAAATATATAAGCAGTTAAATATACAAACCATTTTAGTTTGGAAGGCAAGTTTGGAAAACAAACCCAAATCATCTCATTGATGAAATATGCTCCAAACACACAGACCTTTGTTGGTGCAAAGTAAGCAGGATTTGGCCCTAACCACTGTCATCTCAATAAATCTTTCATTGTAATTTGTCCCCCGCACATTTTCTGTAGATGATTTCATACTCCAAAGATATTCTGCAAATCAATGAGTCCTCTTCATTGTGTATTGTTATCAAGTTATTTTTAATTACTGCATATGAGTCAAGTTTCTCTGCAGCTAATAAAAGTTATGTATCTGAGCCCAGTCAACACAGCAGTAAGATAGGAAACAAGCATACACTGAATCTTTCAAACGCAAGAACTACAACAAGGGTAGACACCTTTCTGTAATCCAGTCCTCCTCATTAGTACATACACCACACAACTGTAGTCATTAGGAATAGTATATTTTGGACTAAACACAACAGAATAAATTCCAAGTAATTCCTAACGAAGAGAGCCACTAGTACCACCTGCATTTTAACAAATAAAACTGCTTCATTATTTTCCCTGCAATCCTTTAAAAAACAAACCAATCAACCTTAATATCTCGTTTCTTCTACTGTTTTAATAATTTTTTCACCAGCACTGAAAACCACTTACCCATTTCAGGAGAGAATTCCACCTCCCCCTTAACTGGGTCCTGGACATGATTTCCAAGAGGATTTCCTATCTTATTCTCTTTCTGTTGCAATTCAGGTATACGAACAGGTCCCCGTGTAAAACGGGGGTAGAATTTTTTTGGAAATGGCCTCTGAGGTTCCAGCCCCTTGACGGGCACATTCTTGAAGGATTGGTTCTCTTCACTGAAGTTGAAATAAACAAAGAGCAGAAGTGTCCAGGTCACAGATGTGAAAAGGCACCCATAGCAGAAATAGCGAAGTGTGACACTTCCCATTGTAGACTTAGCATCATTGAGGACCCATTCTCAATTACCTGAAAGAGAGTGAAAGCATATATTTTGAGAGTGCTGCCCATTACCTCATCAAGTCTATACATTAGGAAATGCATTACATAGGTTGGTCTTCCATTAAATGATTTTTGGAAGTTAAGATCTATGCTTAAAGTTTAAGAATTTAATCCCTTTTCACTTTCCCATTCAAAAAACAAACATGACCAGTTTGCACATTCTGCATAGATATAACTGCTTTAAAACATGAAGCAAACAATCACTAAGAGCCCGGTGACACATTACAATTAAAATTAAAAATGGTTAATTTTTCCTCACAGTAGTTATATAATTATCTCTCTTCCACAACAGTACAGTCCTTGTTTGCCTGCATTCATTTAAACATGTAACTATTTAACTAAATATACTACATACAGAGAATTGATTCTTCACAGAATCACAGAATGGTTGAGGGTGGAAGGGACCTCTGGAGGTCACCTTGTTCAACCCCTTTGCTCAAGCAGGGCCACCTTGAGCCCAAGAGTATGTCTAGACATGTCCACTTTTGTAGTTCATTTCCTATCCTAAAGCATGGTATGAGAGAACACAGACTCAAAAAGCTACATAGTTACACCTTCTTACACCAAATTTAAAAACAGTCATCATAGAATCATTAAGGTTGTAAAAGACCTCAAGGATCATCAAGTCCAACCATCAACCCAACACCACCTAACCCACTAAACCATGTCCATATCAAAGGTAATCACGAGTGTCTCAGAAATTCCAGAAATCAATGGGTTCAATTTAACACATACCACCAAGGATAGTCACATTTACAGATACTCTTCTCTGCAGAAAGAAAGAAAACAGATATTCAATAGG